TTTGAACCGAATTAATTCGACTCGAATCTGACTTGTCTTCAACTTGTTAACTCGAACTTAAACAATATGACCTTTTTAACAGGAGGCATGGCAGCTATTCAGATCGATTATGGGTCAATATTGGGTAAATTTTGGGTTGGTTGATTGATTTTAAGATAGCATGATGTCAGCTTTGGGTCAATTTTGTGTTGACAGATCAACTCAAACTTGACTCTAAAAATTAAGTATGTTAGAATTCCCAACCAAATAAGCATGATTGTGACAGTTATCATTGTGGCATCCACAACCGTGCTTGTCCAACACATTGCTCCACCACTTGTGCCACAGATTGTTCCACACCCCAACGCCTCCTAGCCAGGTACACCACCACCCTCATTCCAAGAATAACTCTGCTCTTATCAAGTTTATTATGTTGGGCAACTTCTGATGCTCATACATCAAGCTGGAATGAGATGCTTTCAAGTTTGGCCATTCACAGGATTACAGACTGCATCAAGAGCAAGTATGATGCTCCCTACTATTCAATAAGTAGATCCCAATTGAGGTTTGAAATATGTGGTTTTTAGAGTTTGAGATAAACCCTAAATAATATTAAATTATAGTAATTTTAAGGTATATTTTTATAATATCATATATAGTATGATATTTATAGTGCAGAAGAACTTCTATCAATTCTGCATGAGCACCATCAAAAGATCAGACCCCACTTTAAAATTAAAGTCGCCACCTGCTTGCGAAAGAAGGGGCAAATATCCTTATAGATTGGGATGGACGCCTAACCTGGTTATTCAATATATGGGCCTCTCCTAACTATGTTAAGAATAAGTAGCAGGCATAGTAGAACTTGGTTTCAGTTTGCGGGGGCATGGGCACCTCCCTATACATTAAAAGCTCAGTCTCCCATACCAACTACAATAGAAGGATAATAAATTTTACTTTGTATATTGAATTTAAATGTATATTTATTATTTACTAACTTTTTATACATTAACAAACACTTGTTCTTAGACGAGAGTTCACCACCGTGCTGAGCCACATTTCTCTACAAATCATCATAAGACAATCTGGTGGTGGGTCAACCCTAGATCTTAAAGAGTCTTTGCAATTGAAATAAATATTTTTTTTTAAAAAAAATTTCAATTGATTTATACTTTTTTTTATGCTAATTACCCTTTACAATCTTTTATAAGATGAGTATATACTTTAGAAGGATATTTTGAGTTAGAGCTCACCAATAGTAGTTGGTAGTTATAGTGGTCAGGTCAAGAGTCAGAACTAACCTTAATTTTTAGGGGAGAAAACTTATAATATAAATAAATTAATTTTATCAAAAGTTGAACTTATAATATATATATTGTTTTTTGAACATATTCCTAGTAGATATTGCTGGTGGTATTAATGAACTAACAAAATGAATATTCAAATTTATAAGAGGCAGATATTTCAACAATAAATTCAATCGGCTGATTATCGGTGATAGGTTTACCAAAAGTTTGTCAATATATTTCATCTTGTACAACCAATACACTCATTTATTGTCGGGGTATCGTCTGTATATTATTTAGTCAGAAATCTTCTAGCTGATATTGAATTAAATTTTTATCAGAATTCATTTATCGTGAATGTTTTTTCATCAATGTGTATTTCTAACTAGGGATATTCTAGTTGTTCAAAATCCATCCATTGTATAATAATTTTATCAGAAAAAAAAAAATATTTTCTTAATTGGATTTTGTTTGTCAATAATTGATGAATTTTCTACAGTGATAGTTGGTGGGTCCTGTTGGCATACCATTTTCGATGAATGGCCAAATTAGCATCGTCTATTCCAAATAGAGGGAATGGATAACCTTGATTCTATCTCTTTTCTCCAGTCAAAAGATGATAGTCATTCACATAAAACCCCTTTGATCTATGTGATATAGAGAAAGGCAGTGGGTTTCCAAAATAAACAGGGATCCTAGCCAAGTATTCTAGCTTAAGGATCCTTAATCCAAATTGCCTTCTCAAAGTTCCAAACTGAGAAAGATAGAAGATAATTTTAGGAAATTATTTTACTAGGTCTTCAATTGAGTTGATTTTTGTGATCGAATCATCTAGGATGTCCTCGTTAACAATTTGTCTTCAAGCACCATTGGCTGAAGTGGACTGGATCGATGAGTTGACTAAAATCCTATAAGAATGGCCAAAGTTGGTGTGGAGAGGGCATATGATGCTCGGGGAGAGAAGAGAAGCCCTTTGAGGGTCCTTAAAAGGTTGAGGATGGTGAGGAATGAACCCATTTTTTTCTTTCTCGATGCCTATGACAAAATCCAAACTGGCATCTCTTCTGGCCATCATTGGAAGAATAAAAGGTGAGCAAAGGTTGTTTTATCATTTAGATAGCTTTATGGGATGGCTAAGATCAAATCACCCATATCCCTGAGTGGTTGAAGGCTCAAAAGGCTCAAAGGGATGACTACTACCAATAACCTTTGACTCAAGTTATGGTGCTTTCAGTTAATTACGGTCAAGGGGCATGTTAGCCTTTGGTCAATTTTAACTAAGTTGGGCGGTGCCTAAATAATTTTAGAATCGAGTTGTAGATGCCAATTTTGACATTTGATCAAATCTAGTTAATTGATCCCATATGTGGCTTGGATTCATGACTAATCAAGGACACCCAAATAACAGGGGATAGGCTACGTCACCTAGATGAGATGGCTCGATCTAGGTGAAATGCTAACCCTCTAATCGATGCCCAATTTGACCATTGGTGCACTAGGTGCTCTTGTGCTGTCCAGTTAGGTTGAACCGAGTCTAGGTAGATTAAATCGAGGATTGAATCAGGTGGAAGAGAACCTCTAGTTGACTTATCCATGGCTTAGACACAACAATTGTGCTTCAGAGAGATTTTATCCCAATAAGATCCAAATAAGTAGAGTCTAATCTTAGCTTTAGCTAAGGCTTATTTGATAAGTCTTAGTTTGTGTTTAGGTACATTTTTAAGTTAGACTCATAAATGATTTTAGTTTTAAATATGATTGGGTTTAGTTTGATTCCATTATGCTGAATTAAATTAAATAAAGTTAAGTTAATAAGTTTGATTAGGTTTGAATTAAACTTAGTTTTAGATTTAACTTGGCTTTTGAATTCAACTTTAAGTTTAATTAGCTTTAGATTAAGGTTTGAATTTCATTTAGCTTTAGTCATGTTCATTATGTTCAATGTCATGCTTGACTTAAATTAATTGGATTTATGTCTAATTTAAGCTTAATTATTATTATTTTGAATTAGGATATGTTTTAGTCGATTATATATATTTTGAATTCATTTTGAGTTATATTAGATTTAAGTTTCAAATATGACTAGTTTAAGTTAAAAGCTAATTATAATTTGTGCCTTTGGTTTGACTTAAACTAAGTCAAGCTGTATTTTAGCTTAGTTATAGGCTTAGATTAATTAAGGATTTAATCATACTTAATTTCAATATTAAGGTAGGCTTAGTTTAATTAGGATTAAGTTAGGTTTAGGTTTAAATTTTGTTTAGCTTTAAATGCAATTTAATCTAGTTCAAGGTAGAATTATGTTTAATTGAGTTTTATATATAGGTTTAATTGTATATAATTATAATTTGAATTTAGAGTTAATTAAATTGAATTTTAATGCACGAATCTCGAGACATTCTAACAGTCTTGATAAAATGATATATCACAAAAAGTTGCCAAAATCAGTTATTGAACTAAAAAGTCACCATAAAGACCTGTAACTTCCCTTAAAGTGGGACTATGAAACGACATCATAAAGAACTGTAACACTCTTGTTATGATGAGACATTAATAAAAATATAATAATAACCTGTAACTCGTCCATTAAAGTAGGGACAAACATGTAATTTTAGACGGTCAATCTTTCTCTTTAAAATAAAAAAACCCATAACATGTAAAAGGAGGCTATTATCTCTTGACTTTTCTCATGCAGGAAGAACTCTCTCCCTTTCTCAATGTAGCCTTTATTTTTGATATATAATAGGGGTCAAAGTGCCCGACGATACTTCAGTTCACCCTTATGTGGTAAGTCTATATGTGTTATTTCTTTTTCCTTTACAGTCTCTTTCTTTTTCTCCCTCAAGTTCCCTACCGCTTTGATTTTTCGGCATGCCTCAAAGGACAAATATGGATTCAACAATCTAAAATATGTGGTGAGCATGAAGCATGCTGCCAAAAAGAAAAGAAGCGACACCAAGAAGAAGAAATGCATCTCAGAGACTTTCATAACAGGGAGTGCGTTAAAGTGTTCATGCTACAACAGATCTTGAGATAGAAATGCCATATCCGTTCTTTTCCTAGAGGTTCTGGCTAGGAGGCAAGTACAACAAAACAAATGATTGGCTCCTAATGGTCGAAACAAGTCGATTGACTGTACATGCACAAAGTTCAGTCATTTTTTAGTGACTGACACGTCATCAAGCAAATAGAGGGAATGCTACTTTACAACATTTTCTTGTTTTATGATACAAATTTCTCTAACATTTTTTTGACTGACACGTCATCAAGGGCTTAAATGACACTCAGAAAATTCAGTTTCGATTTTCGAGTTAGCGAACAGGACGTTAACGACAAAATCCTCCCAACCAACCACTTGGGGGCACTAAAAAGGGGACAAAGTACAAAATCCTCCCAACCAACCACTTGGGGGCACTAAGAAGGGGACAAAGTCTTAGAAGGGATAGGTCAAGGGCCAGATAACATTAAATCGACAAAAAATGGATCAACACTCAAAAAATTTCTTTATACAATATCAAAAATTCTACAATCATTAACTTTTTTTTAAAAATAAATCCTTGATATTTATATTTTTAATACCAAAATATTATAAATATAGCATTGAATTTTAGATATTACATACATAAATATATAAGAATTTTATGATATACATACATAAATTTCATTATTTTTAATTTTGATAAAAGCCAACTACTTCAACCACCCCCGCAGCTCAAATAGAAACCTATACTCGCCATTGATACCAACCTGCCACCCGCAAACCTCCGTGTCAAGCGCGCTCTCGTCCGTATCAACACTCCCGCCCTGCGCGCATATCAAAACCGTTGATTCGTATCGAGACCGGAATGAGCCCGAAAATGGCACGATGGTGAATTGTAGCCACGCAGTCCTTCCGAAGCCCGAACAAACCACGACGGGCAGATCCGGCAATCGTCCTACCCGGTATTACCTGCTGAGGCTTGACGGGGAAGACAAGCAGCATCCCTCTTCTCTCCGCCAGTCCTGTTCAGTCAACGCCAGCGAGGTGAGAGAAGTGGAGAAGAAAGCTTGAAGGAGCTGCGCTTACTCTGCCAGTCTTTGTATTCGCTTTCTTTTTGCTGGTCGCTCAAACCTTTCGTCGTTCTCTGTGCGATGGTGTTTGTTTGATTGATACCTCATCGGACGGCCGTGGCTTGTGACGATCGGAGACCGGGTGAATTTTTTAACGCTTCTGTTTATTCGCTTTTGTCCACTGGCCCTTCGATCAGTCGAGATTGTGAGATAGAGGAGAGGGGAAGCTTTTGGTTGGAGCAGTTGTGAATCGGGGGAGTTAGAAGAAGAATGTCGAAGGTAGTATATGAGGGATGGATGGTGCGCTATGGTCGGAGGAAGATCGGCCGTTCGTACATCCACATGCGGTACTTCGTACTCGAGACTAGGGTTCTTGCTTATTACAAGAGGAAGCCCCAGGGTAACATGGTATGTTTTAATTTCCTATCAAGTAAAATTGTATAGCTTTTCTGTATTTGTGCTCCTGACTGGGGGCTTGGAGAGCGGGATTGTTCGAGCTGCAATCTCATTTGAAGTTGTTGATAATCAGAGTTTATGCCTGGGTTCCTATTGAATTTAATTCTATTAATGTTTATATCATATTCAGAAACAATTTATTAGGGTTCTGATATCTGACATGTACAGGTTCCTGTTAAAAGTCTTTTCATAGATGGGAGTTGCAGAGTGGAGGATAGAGGTCTTAAGATTCACAATGGCCATGTAAGATTTGGACAATTTTTCTTCATCTAGCAGTTATTGTGTTAGTATGTGTATATATTCATCTTAGTGTTGATGCTGTAATTGCACACTTTTTAGCTAATGCCTTAGGCAATCCTAACATGCTGTTAAATCTAGCTTTTGCAAATGATTCATAACAAGGATTATTCAATCATTGTCAAAGTGATGCCACTGCAATCGAAAATTTAACCTATGTATTCTTACTATTGCTACTTGATTTTTGTAATTTTAATTCTATCATTTTAAGAGTATCACATCTTTATAATATTATATGAATTTGGTTACTGGAAAAAGAATGAAAATTATGTGACAAAATTACTGGAAAAAGAGCAAATGTTTGCAAAGTTATGTTTATGTTATTAAGAGGTATGATGAAACTATATGAAGCCATTTTATCCTTTTTTTGGCTTTGTTAGCGTCTACTGAAGGAAGCATTTTTATTTTAGTAGAATAACTAAATTGATATGCACATGAAGTGACAAATGAAGGCAGCCTATTTTTTTCAGAGTTTTAAAATTTGTATCTGCTGCATTTATTGTCGTCAGTTGCTCTGTTGCTGTCAATCTATTTATCAATAACCTGTATGATCTAACAAGTAATACATTTGTGGGACATACATTCCACCCAATCTTATGCACCGAAACTTTAATTTTCTTACATTTATACCAGCCAAATCTTTCACATCACTTAAAAAATACCACTATTTTAACTTTTAAAAAGTGAAAATACCTTTTCATGCATAGGTAAGGTGGTATTTTCATGCATAGGTAAGGTGGTGTAAAAACTGAAGTTTTGGTGTTAGATATGTAAATACATAAGGATGTAAATCTTTCTATATTTCTGGTTAGCAATTTCTCATCTTTTAAAAGAAACCTTACAAAACCAACATTGAGAGCACATTTTGTAGGATCTTACAGTATGCCATATTAAAGGTACGGAGTTGATGAGTGGATTTGAGAAGAGATTTTATACCGAAATCATTATCATCGTATCATTGCCATTTTTATTGATGTTAATTTTCACCAAATGCAGTTAGCTACTATTTTTCATCAACAAAAATTTCTTAAAAGCTATGTTGCTTAATAGAAACAATGTATCTTGCTCAATTTAGACCTGATGAAAGTATACATGATTAAAATGAGTTTGTTTTTTTATCAAAAATCCGTGGGTATAGCAACTATGTATTTTTTTCTGGCTTTATTTCTTTTGGTTGAATCCAATGAAAATATAATTTTGGTGGTAACAATCCAATCTTGTCTATGTCATACATTATGGATATTTCCTTTAAATAAATTATTTTACTTTTTACTGTAAAGTTCATACGTTTTACTTTTAATGGTTATTTTTAGGGATATTTACATACATACCACACACTTGTTGTGTATTTATATATCTGACACGTAAAATTTCATATTTGCATGCATAACTCTCAAATCCTTAATATCACATAAAAAATATCACTGTTACTTTTTAAAAATTAAAAATGAAATACACATTTTTATGCCTAGGTTTATGACATCTCAATGTTATAAATGTAGATATGAAAGTTTGAATATTTGATATGATACATAATTATTGTGTGGCATGTATGTAAATTTTCCTTTATTTTTAGCATGCGCGCTAGGTCTCCAGCTATTTATACTTCAATCAATGACATTAATTTTGCATGCACATAATGGTTTTACGTGATGTAGGTACGCTAACTACTCATGCCTACATTTTTTTTTGACAGATGGTTTATGTACTGTGTGTGTACAACAAAAAGGACAAATACCATCGAATCATGGTGTGTATCTACTATTTTAAGAATTTGCATTGTTGCTTTTAAATATTCTTCTTTTGGTAGGTTGTATTTGTCATTTTTTTATTACTGTAACTACTTTGTTAGGCTTAATTTTGGAAACCCATGATTTTTTTCTGCATCATATTTTGACCTGCACTAGTATCTTGCTTTTCTTTTAATGGGCTGTTTGTCCCAACTACACTCTCTTTATGATGAGTATGCTGTGTAAAGTTTATGACATAATTATTGATGCAATTTTGTAGACTTTCTATATTATTAAGTAGTTTTAAGAGCTGCAGTAGCTTCAAGTTTGTTTAGCTCAAAGTATTCCTAAAAGTTGCATTTGGTTTCCCGACCCAATATTTGGTGTTTATTCTACCTTATCTTTCATGAAGGCTTGTTTAATTGAAGGTGTTATAAGTTACTCCATATTCTCATGATTATTGAACGTTTTCAGCTTGTAATACATCAATCTTATGTCAAGGAAATCCTCGGGAAATTCTCGTGTATTTTGATGCTACAAAAATCTGTTGTTATGCGATTTTGATTTAGCCTTGAAGTTTACTCCTTGCCAAAATGCCAATACTGATATCCGTCAACAATCTTGAACTTCATGCCCTAAATATTTAGGTGCCTTTACATACATAACACCCAATTCCTACTTGTTTACATATATAACACTTAAACCTTACTTTTTACATTTGAACCACTCAAATCTTTCATTGCACATAAAAGGTCTCACTATTTTAACTTTTTAAAAATGAAATACACCTTTTCATGCAGTAGATAAGGTGCCATATACACAAAAATTGAAGTTTTAAGTGTTAAGCATGTATGTAAATCTTCCAAATATTTAAGACTCCTTTTAGCCAAGAACAACCAGAACTGAAATGTATTGGCTTCATGAATATGCAAGAACTTTCATAGTGGAAATTTGGACGTGCATGAGTTGTTTAAAAAGCATAAATTTGGACTCAAAGATACTAACATATTTTCACTACAAGAGTGATTTGACTTGTAATGAATTCTTCCCCCAAATGGCCTGCAAAGGTGGATTATTTGCTGGTGATGATGAACGATAAGCTTCATTGTTGCCCCAAAATGACTGATATAGGTCATGTAGCTATCAATAAATATATATTGAAACGTTTTGTGCTTCTCTTTCCTTTTTACTCGGTGGATCGAATATTTTAATGTCCATATATTATTTGCTTTTCACATTATTTATTGGCTATCATGCTTGCTAAGTTATTCTGATGCATTTTGCTTGTGATTTCTTGGAAGCACTTTCATGTCACTGGCTTATTTTTTCAATCCTCTTATCTCAGATGGCTGCATTCAACATTCAGGAGGCTCTGACCTGGAAGGAGAAAATTGAATCTGTGATTTATCAGGTTGACATAAATTTAAGGACAGTTTATTTATTTATTTTTTATGTCCGAAGCTTTTGCAACTCAAAGCAATTTATAAACCATAAAATTTCTTTCATTTGAAAAGAATTTCAAAACTTAAAATCTTTCCTTTTTTCTAACTAATACTTGCCATCATCATAATCATTGATATCCCGACTACCTGAGGTCAACCTCATGAGACCTTTCATTCTTTTTGAGTGCTAATTGAAATCTTTTGTGATTGTTTTCTTTTATTATGGGAGATGCTTATTATATTTTGCAGAAAGAAAGAAAAGAAAAGAGAGGAAAAGTAAAGAGCAAGAAATATGTGAAAAATGTTGCACTTTGTTGATATAAAATGTCTAGCACCCTAGCCTATCCTGCATCACATTTATGCATTCATAAGTTGAGAATTCCCCTGGTTTTAAAGCATCACTTCTAGCATGAAAGTTTGATAAATTAACTTAATCTCACTTCTGTTTGTACCAGCAAGGTTTAAGCACAAATAATGGAAATATGTCACACGCTTCATATCTGTCCAAAGGTGGCAATCATGTTGATCAGAATGCTTCTTCATCTGACAGGGAAAGCCTGTAAGTAACTGAACTTTAATAGTAAGCCAAAGGACTACGAAATATGTTAGTAGTATATCTGATGATGCTACCCAAATTTATACATGCAGTGCAAGTGCTGAAGACGATGAAGAGCATAGCCGCTCATTGATACGTAGGACAACAATTGGCAATGGTATTTAAGGATGATTTTCATGCTTTCGTTTGTTTTTTTTTTCCTTTTTTACATTTTATGTAATGTGATATGGCCATGTTTTTTGCATATAGGATGTGTTTTCTTATTATTCTAACTCACACACACACCCATATGTGCCGAGTAATGAGCTTAGGAGCTTATGGTTAAATCTCTCAACCACTGGGCTAAGTGGGCTGCACTTCTGCATTGAGGATGTATGCTCTGCATTGGTGGAATAAGGGGATTGCTGGGGGAGGCACTTGGCCCCCTAGATTTTTACCAAACCCTCTAACATCATATAATACAATACAGTAAAAATTTTTCCCCCCCCCCCCCCTAAACTTAAAAATAATTTATTATTAATTTTTTTTTAATTTGATAATTATCTTTATAATAATTTTAAAAAACTTAGGAAATTAAAGTTTTAAAATTAAAAACATGCCATTCTCTGTTTTTTTATCTCACCACCCCACTTTTTTAAGTTTTAGTTCCGCCACAAATGCTCTGCTGCATGATTGAATTTTTCCACGCGCAGGCCCTCCTGAATCAATTCTTGATTGGACACGGGAATGTGATTCAGTGTTATCAAATCAGAGTACTTCAGATCAAGTTTTTTCTAGAAAACATTGGCGTCTTGTCAGATGCCAAAATGGCAAGATTTATTCTTCTTAGTCTGCTCAAGTTTTTATTTAAACAAGAGGAGTTCTATGTTAGCTGATTATTTCTGCTCAAATTTTGCAGGTCTTCGCATTTTTGAAGAGCTTTCAGAAGCTGATTACCTTGTACGTGATGAAATCATTTATTTGATTATGCTGATGTTGATAGAAGCTTTTATATCATAATTATGTTTTTTAGTTCGTCACCCAGAGGGCAATAGTGACATGAGCAGCTTAATCTGTTTGAATTTATCTTCTGATACATGTACTTTTGCAGCCACGAAGTTGTAGTAGAGCAATGAAAGCTGTTGGTGTGGTCGAGGCCAGTTGTGAAGCAATATTTGAACTTGTAATGTCCATGGATAGAAGCCGTTTTGAGTGAGTTCTTTAATGTGCAGCTGGTTTTTTTCTCTTTGGTTTTAATAGTTATATCCTATTTTCTCCCTTAATATTGTAGGTGGGACTGCAGCTTCCAGTATGGCAGCTTAGTAGAGGAGGTAGATGGACATACTGCAATATTATATCATAGACTGCAGCTGGGCTGGTTTTCCATGTAACGTTCTTTTAAAAATTAGTGAATTGCTGTTGGTCTTCATATATTCTTTATATGCACTGATTGTTGATTGGAGATCAATACATGCACGCACAAAATGTGTGCTTCAAGTTAATTATTGTTCATTTCAGAACAATTAGTTCTTGATATGATTTCTATTTTTCAAAGCAAGTCAATGATGTTATTTGAAGCTATTTTAAATGTTATTTGTACTTTCATTTATTTTCCTTTTGTCCTAAAATTGTAATGTCTCGAAACTCAACAAGGAGGATGTTGATGTGCACCTATAAGTAGATCTGAGTTTAAATTGAAACAAACTTATGCTATCTTTCTATTTATCTTTAAAACATTCCATCTTCCTTAACTTTTTGGACATAGAATATGCTTTGTAAAGTTACATTTATTGATCATTTAATTATTAGAATAAGTATTATAAATGGAGAACATGAGTTATATAAAATATGTATGGCAAAATAGAAACTTTAGAGACGTCAATGAAGTGATTTTTTTCTTAAACAAAATGAGATAAGCTCTTTTTAAATATTAAAAAATCAAGGAAATATGAAACTGCTATTGAGAAAGTAATAAAGGAGTGCTCTAAGAAAGACATATTTGTGGAAGAGCCTGATGAATAAAAAGCTATTGAGAAAGTAATAAAGGAGTGCTCTAAGAAAAACATATTTGTGGAAGAGCCTGATGAATAAAAAAAATATATCAAAAAAGATATATTGGAGTTTGACTTCATAAAAAATGAGGTTAGATCTAAAGAAGATTTATCACGCTAAATCTTTAAATCTTGACGAGATAACTATTGAGATTTGGTGACTAATGGGCGGGATTTGAGTAGTTTGATTAACATGTCTTATCAATGAATGTCAATGCCTAAACTAATGATAAATAAAGTAGGAGTAAGAACTTTGTTATCATTATTCAAGAATAAAGATGGATAGGATTTTGGTGGTGAAATAGATGGGGGGGGGGTAAACTTATGAGTTGTACAATGAAGTTATGTGAATGAATAATGGTATAAGGACTTAGAAGACTCATGATAGTATCAATGAATAAATTTAGTTTCATACTAGAAAGATTTTCTATGTAGGTTATTTTTGTCGGAAGACAATTAAGGTAGGAGTATTGATAGCAAGGGAATGATCTTTAGAAGCTTTTAATTGATCTTGAGAAGAAATTTGATTGAATATACGCCATCATCGAAAGTGTTAGTACCTTGAAGTTAATATGGCTGCCTTATGCTCGAGGTGCTTGCTGTCAAACCTTACCAACAAATAAGATGGTGGATCACACCTTGGGAGGTTTTGAGGCAAGGTTGAACCAAGGAATCTTCCAGAAGAATCTAGAGCAGCCAACAAACATCTTGAAAGAGAAGTCACCATATTGTAAATAATTCTAAGAGATTCTATCAAAGTCTAGACTCATTTGGAAGACCTTGGCAGACTGTGAACGATTCAAGAATATTCTAGGATTCTTTGGAACGCTGTAGGACCTTTGGAACACTTAGGTGTAGTAGAGCTCTCTAAAGCTATCCATTGTGGAGGAAGTCTATAAATAGGGACCTTCACTTTATTTGCAACAATGAGAAATCTCAAGGAACTTCTAGTTTTATAATGTTATTTAGAGTGTAATAACACTTTAGCTTTCCTTTTTAGAAATTCTTCTCACGTTCTCTTGACTTATGAGCATTCTAGCCCATCATTTGTGAAATTTAGGCAGAATTACCATCAATAAAGTGTGCTTAAGGCCACAAAATTAGTTTGAAGAGAGTCAGTCCGTGATAGTTGATATTACTTCCTTGGTTTAGGCATGACATTGAAAGTCAGAGAGCGAGCTGTTAGGTCCAGGATGACCAATGTAGATTAATGTTAAGGTCACGAGCAGCAATGTGAACCTTCAACACCAAGGCCATTATCAAAGCCCAAGGACATGCCATTGATTTGATTCATGCCTCTCGCAGAGAAAGCCATGGGGGCATGTGGGCTCAAATGGAAGCATTCATGCCTCTCGCAGAGAAAGCCATGGGGGCATGAGGGCTCAAATGGAAGTCCTAGGAAAATATGTGAATAGCCTAAAGTAGGATGATTACAAATTTTTTTGCCATAATGGGCATGCTACTTTAATTAGAGGAGACCTTGTGGGGGCAGAATGGGGAAGATGCATGATGAGTTCATGGGTGAACTTAACAAGATGTGTCAAGCTCACAAATTGAAGATGAATGTTGTTGCACACATTGATGATATGCGTCGTTGAAGGTATGCATATTGAGGTATCAAAGTTTAAAATTTTAAAGAGTTAGTGCAATACTTGGGATGTTGATAAGTTATGTGAGCTAGAATAATATTTTGAAGGCTTGGGCATCATGAATAAAGATGCCAAGGTTTACTTTCGAATCTTTGTCTAACTGACACTGTCTAGCTATGATGGGGTAGAATACCAGGAGACCTCCAAAAGAAGTATGCACACCATATACTCCTTTAATGACGTTATGAGAGATCTTGCAATTCTGATGATGAGGCCATTGCTTGTTTACTCAAGCAACTAGGGTTGATCGGTGCATACATAAAAAATTTCACTAGCTTGGTTCTGAAGTTCCCCCACTTATTTGACAAAGATGTCCTCTTCATTTTTTTGGATAAGCTCCAATCATGGGCCAAAACCGAGCTAAGCTGATGTAGATGTTGTCATATACATTGCTATGCAGGAGAGATTGATTGATTATACCAAGGAGTCCAACAACAGAGGACAATAAGAGTGGTCAAGTCAAAGGTTGGGTAGGTGAATGTCAACACACGCATGTGTCTCGCAAAGGCTATCTTGACCAAGAGCAATGATAAGGGCTAGTTAAAGCATAACAAGAGTCTGGGTAAGTCCCATAACAACTTCCTTTGTGGGGTTTCCCTCTAAGCAAGGGACTGGCCCTAGAAATAACCCTAAACTCGCTTCTAGCAAGCCATTAAGTTGACATAGGAATTGAGAAGGCAACTCAGTTGCACAAAAAATGCCTATGCAACTGCTCAATGTGATAAGATTCACTCATAATTTCAGTTCCTTAGAGGAAGCTTGAAGGTTGGGAATCAAGGCAGTTGTTGTGTGTATGTGTGTTGGGGAGGTGTCCATTAAGGCGATTAACTCAGTAGCATGACCCCTTCAAGATACAAGTCAAGGAGTTAAAAGAAGTATGGAAGCGTGGTCTGGTTACACAAACTTCTTGATCATTCCAACTGGTGTTTTATTAGCATCCTAATGTCAGAATTCCTCGATCAAGTCAAGGCATTCCTTCCTGGAGTCATTTGCCAATGACATGTGCATTATGGATGACAATAAAGCTTGCATGGTGCCAACAATGAGAATTACCAAGCAAGGCATAAAGATGTTGTTAGCATTACAGTTTAAGAAAGACATCAAAGGGGGAGAGGAAATTTTCTTGGCTATTTTTACCGAGTTTTGTGATTGGGAGCCAAAGTATCAAGATGACATGTTAAAGGAGGTAACTACACCTCTTGAAGAATTCGAGGATATCTCACCCAAGGAGCTGCCCAAGAAATTATCACCAAGGAGGGAAGCAGATCATCAAATTGAGCTGAAGCTAAGGGATGAAATCAATAGCCATGGTAACATATCACACGACATATGTAGAGTTAGTAGAGCTAAGGAGGCAATTAAAGGAGCTATTAGTTGTTAGGTTCATTCTCTAAAATTTTGTTCGATACTATTGTCTTATTCTAGAGAAAGAATGATAGTTCCTTGCGCATGTGTTGAACATTGGGCTCTCAACAAAATCTTAGCAAATAATAAGAACCTTTTTCCTTTGATTGCTAATTTATTCAACCACCTGGGCCACACACACAATTTCTCATAGTTATACATTTGTTCGGATTACTATCAAGTGCACATTGTCGAAGGTGATGGGCCAAAAACCATATGTATCACATGATTCCTATGAAATTTTCGTTCACGCTTCTTGATCTAGCTATAACTAAAGCAACAATTACATTTTGCATCTTGAACAAATTACTTCACTCTTATCTTAACCACTTGATGGTCTCCTAATTGGGCAATACGGATGGTAGTATATAGCAAAACCCTTGAACAACTTGTAAAGCACTTGAAGGAGGTGTTCTAAGGTGATCCGTGACAATGATTTATACATCAGGAAGGAAAAATGTTCATTTGCCTAGCTCGAGGATTGTTTTTTTAGCACAAGATCCAAGATGGCAAGCTAATATTGGAAGACGACAAGATGTATGCCATTTAAGCTTATTAGCCACCCATGAAGGTACATTAACAATGATCATTTCTTGGGTTAGTAAACTACTATTGCCAATTCATCAAAGGCCATTCGACAAGAGGTGCTTCACTAATAGACCTTTTCAAGAAGAATAAACCATGGGTATAGACTACAAAATTTCAAGAAGCCTTTGAAGATCTCAAAAAGCTGATTTGCGAAGAACCCCTACTTAGCCTATTCGATCACACCGAGTCTTATGAGGTATAAATTGATGCTTCCTACTTTGCTATTGGTGATATTTTGGTGTAAGATGGCCATTTAATTGCTTATGAGAGTTGTGAGGTTAATGAGCTGAGCGACATCATAGTGTACAAGAAAAAAAGATGACCGGAATCATCAATTGTCTTTATATGCACCGACAGTACCTGCTTGGATCGTGGTTTGTAATTATGATTTATGTTATTACTAAAAGTTATTTTTAGACACATAAAAAGTCCAAAGCAAGTTAGACAACAAGATTTTTGGCCAAATTTGATTGTATCATGGATTCTAGGCCAAGAAGGATGAATGTGATGGTTGATGCACCAAGTCTAAAGGTGGACTTATCAAGCTCATCACAAGTAATTGGTCTGTTGATAGGTGGGATTAAGGATCTTTGCCCTCAAACTAAAACTAAAAGCATCTTTGCCCTCGTAAAAATATGGAAAATATGAAGCTTTTTGCTAGTGGAAGACATCCTGTACACCAAGGGCAGCTGGATCTAT